ATACTTTTTTAATTCAATTTTCAACTCGAGTTCATGCCAGTGGGTAGTTGATAAATAAAATATATATTTCGGGCCATATTAAATGCATTGCGACTAATGTTATATTAATAGAGACTATATCTGATTAATAAATACAATATAATTTATAGCTTAGATATAAATTAACTTCGCATGTTTCTTTTTTTTTTTCATTGGTGAAGATGAAATTTAGCTTAAAATTATAATTCCTGTCAATTTTCATCCTTTAATTTGGTATAAAGAGTTCGCTATCCTCATTAAAATCCCTTCAACTCTTTTCATGTTTTTTTTTGGGTTCGGACAATCCATTTTCTTGATAATGATAACAATAACAATAATAATAATAATAATAATAATAATATTATTATTATTATTATTCTTAATTAATTAATTAAAAAGATAATTTAATCCCTACCGATCATTGAAGAGCGGCTTCAGTTTCCGAGCTACAAAACGGTAAGAGAGGAACCGAGCACGCTCTTTCAGTCTACTGGATCGAGGAGGAGATGGAGATCGCGAGGAGGAACACAGCGCCGCTTCTCCTTGCTTTCTTCCTCTTCCCTCTCCTGCTTCCAAGATCCGTTTTTGCTGCCAAGCAGGCATTGCCTTCAATCTGTTCCTCCTCTGTTTCCTCCAAAGATCAGAATTTTCTGACACGCTACAATCTGATTTCCTGTTTATGGACGAATCTTTGTTGCAGGCCTATGTAGTGTACCTCGGGGAGCACTCGCACAGCTCCGAATTGTCCCCTCTGGAGGCTTCCAAGAGAGCCACGGAGTCTCACTACGAGCTGTTAGGATCGGTGCTGGAGGAGTAAGAAAGAAATCGTACAAGTAATTTTGGGTTTTGATCGATCTATCTTGTCAGAGTCTGATGTTGTTGATCAAAAACAGCAAGGAGAAGGTCCAAGATGCAATCTTCTACTCGTACACCCACCACATCAATGGCTTTGCGGCCTACCTCGAGGTGGAAGAGGCCATGAAGGTATCAGGTAGGGCTTGTCTTCGGTTCTTGTTCAGATGTTGTGCTCTTCGAGAGAAGGTCCTGTTCAATCATTGCTTTCTGTTCTTGTGGTTAGAGTACCCTGGAGTTCTTTCGGTGATTCCTAACAGAGGCTACACACTTCATACTACTCATTCCTGGGAATTCCTCGGCCTCGAGAGGGATGGCAGGGTTCCAAAGCAATCACTGTGGAGAAAGGCTCGATTCGGAGAAGACACCATCATTGCAAATCTTGATACTGGTATCACAGTTCGATTCTGCTTTCTACTTTTTACTACAATTTTTTTCCTCAGGAGAAAATTTGGTTCACTATCATCCTTTCACATCGACAGTTCAGTTTCTGTAACATTTTCATGAAACAACAAATTGTCTTTATCTTATTGATGGGTATTACTTCCATCAGTTTAGAAATGCATCTTGACCTTTTCCTCCATTGCATTGGTAGGAGAAGAAAAGATCTAAAAAGATCAGAAGTCTGCACTTGTTAAAATAGATGACTTGGCTCTGTGCCCTCTGTCGACAGGCACCTTCTTGCCATCTGCGTGTAGTTCTTCACCTCCATTATTCTAATTCAGAATTTGAATCTAGACATGTTGGCAATACCAATCTAAAACATGAAGCTCACTTGCTTCAATTAGTCAATTGGGGACACAAGTGGTGTTCTTTGTCAAAGAAGTATGTCTGGGACCATTGACTAATCAACCAATCCAAGCTTTTATTGACCATTCTCCAACAGTCTATATTGATGGCAAGCTGATTCTTCTAGGCTTGTTTTCTTATGGTTGTGGATGTTTAGGGGTGTGGCCAGAAGCACAAAGCTTTAAAGATGATGACTTGGGACCAATTCCATCAAAGTGGAAAGGAATCTGTCAGAATGACTTTGATGAAAGTTTTTCATGCAACAGGTCTATTTCTGCAGTCTTTACTTCCTTGTCTTTAGAACTTATTCTGGACCAATAATTGGAAAGGGCACTGCCCTTTCTGATAGATGCATGCCACTTGGACCTAAATTTTCTTGTCTAAAAAACATGTACATATGGTGAGAGAGATATAAAGTAGAATCATCTGTCTACTGTATGCTGTAGTCCTTATCATCATGTGATTTTAAGCAATGAGATTCATGAAGTTACCTCCATGTTTATATGTTGCATGATATTGCATTTTTAATTTTCATTTAGCAAAGTCATGGATGTTTCACTTGCTACTACTCTTTTTCAACATTCCATAGATCTTATTAATTTATTTTTTGACTAAGCAGAGGTGTAGGAGCCACCAATTACTTTATATGTGACTTGAACAAAGTAGTTTTAATTGAACTTGACATTTTAAATATGAATAGTTTCACTTGGAGATAATTGAGATAGAACAGAAGCTTCTGCAAAAGAAATGTTCTTCTGAACAAGGTGGAGCAACAAAGCTCCTGTATGTGTTTTCAGTACTATAAATATCCACAGTTATTATTATTTGGATTGTCATACTTTTTTAATATTAGTGAAAGTGAGTGATGTCGATCGATGTCATCTAAATTAGCTGTATCAGCCTACAATGTTCATCACTATTATCATAAGGGAAAATATTATTCTATAGTAAGAAGAAAGAAAGTTTTGAGCCATCAAAGTGAGTTCAAATCTTTGTCAGCTATAGCATGGAAGAAACCCTTAACACAATCTACTTGTTAGTTTTTACACCATAAAAAAATCTCAAACTCATCAATCATGAACACGATAGCACCCATTCCTTCCATTTAAAAGCCTACAACTTTCAGCAGGTACATGCTTTATCCTAATTGATTCAAAGTCCTTATCTCTGACACTTTTCCATTAATTATCTGGCATAACAAGATCTAACTCAACAAAAAAGTATGATGGTTTTGGAAAATATGCAAGTTGATCATACTTTTTCTTTCAAAAATTTGTCTGCTTCTTCAAAGTAAGCACATACTGGATAAAGGTGAACATGACTCCAGATCTTACATTTCTCGTATAATATATATCATGTAGCATTGCCTGAGTGAGTATGTGGGAAGAAAAACACAATTCATCTTCCAGTTTCTTTTATCTGCAGAAGCCAGCTTGATGTCCTAGATAATATAACCTTTCAAAGACTGTACAATCCACCACTATAATGTTTTCTTCCTGGAAAGCTAGAAGACCCTGTTCCAGATCCAACTGATCAAATAGGACACCATGGTCTCCTAAGCCATCATTAAACATTCTTTTACCCTGGTTTGAGATCACCAATCCTATGCATCCAATCACACACTAACTCTAGTTTTCTGCTTGCTCGCCCATGGATTTTAGTTACAGAGAATACAATGAATTAAACGATACTAGTTTGGAGGTATCTGGTGAGGGATCTCCTGGAGGAGGCATATCTGAAGAACAAATTCATGTTGGCACCCTGCACAAGGGTCCATTTTTATTGGTCAAACAACCACTCTGGTTCTGACTTTTTACGGAGATGAAGAGCAGACTTGCTATTAAATATCGTGTGCAGGGTTCCAATAAATAAAGCTTATCAATTTGTATCAAAAACAAGTCTCATAACTTGTATTTCTTTTGTTATTTCAATATTAATGGGATTTAGAACTCGCTAATATGAAGTTTGAGGAGGATCAATATATGCAATCTTTTTTTGGTATATTGAGAAGTGTTTCTATAGGAATTTGGAAGCAGTCCTATTGTAATGCCAAGTTTTACTAACAATTATGGTTGATGTATGCAAGAAAGAATGTGCATGCATGCTTGCTTGCAGTAGATTCTACTGTAGTAGCGAGACAGATTCTGTTGTGTGTTGCAGTCTCAAGAACAATTCTTGGATGCAGGAAGCTGATCGGCGCGAGGTACTTCAACAAGGCTTACGAAGTCATGGTTGGCCCGCTCAACGCCACCTTCCGCTCCCCGCGCGACTACGATGGGCACGGCACACACACCCTCTCCACCGCCGCCGGCGGGGCCGTGCCCGGCGCCAACATCTTCGGCTACGGCAACGGCACGGCCAAGGGCGGCTCCCCCCGCGCCCGCGTCGCAGCTTACAAGGTCTGCTGGCCGCCCGTCAACGGCAGCGAGTGCTTCGACGCCGACATCGTCGCCGCCTTCGACGCAGCCATCGAGGACGGCGTCGACGTCATCTCTGTCTCGCTCGGTGGAGACCCGGTTGACTACTTCCGTGATGGGTTGGCCATCGGGTCCTTCCATGCCGTCAGGAAGGGGATCACGGTGGCCTGCTCCGCTGGCAACTCCGGCCCGCAGCTTGCTACCGTCTCCAACTTGTCACCTTGGATGCTTACTGTGGGAGCAAGCACCATGAACAGGCAATTCCCCTCTTCTCTCATCCTCGACAACAACAAGAGAATTCAGGTTGCTTTCCATCACCCACGTTTACTACCTCTGTTCTCAGTTAATCTTTACCTGATACATATCTGTTTCATTCTTATCAGTCTTTCCTTTTCGATCTTCTTCTACATGACTTTTGGTGCATTTGTTGTTTCTCATCATATCTCTTCCAACCATCTCACACAGGGGGAGAGTCTTTCTCCAAAAGGATTGCCAGGCAACAATGCCTACCCAGTGATCAGCTCCAGAGAAGCCAAATATGCCAATGCATCGGAGCACAAGGCGTGAGTGAATGTTCTTCTTATATGTCATCCATGGATGCACTTCTGACTTCAACCAACAAGATTAAATGATGACTTGAGTAAAGATTCTTACACCAGTCTTTTGATTCTGCAGTAGGTTGTGCTACTTGGGATCGCTAGACCCGGTGAAGGCGACAGGGAAGATCGTTGTGTGTCTCCGCGGCGTCACTGCAAGAGTGGAGAAGGGGGAAGCAGTTCTGCAGGCTGGTGGCGTCGGTATGGTTCTCGCAAATGATGCCTTCAATGGAAATGAAATCTTAGCGGACGCGCATGTCCTCCCTGCAACCCATATCACCTACTCCGATGGCCTCACCCTCTTCTCCTACCTCGAATCCAACGAGTAAGGTTTCACCGTCGTTCATGTTAAGGCGTATTATAGCAAGCAATAACATGCACTGCAATCTTTTCTAGGTCGCCACTGGGGTACATTACCAGCCCGAAGACAGAGCTTGGGACGAAGCCAGCGCCGTTCATGGCGGCCTTCTCCTCTCTGGGGCCTAATACTATCACCCCGGAGATCCTCAAGGTTCGCCAGAGACGCCACATTACTCCTCCCCATGACCGATGCGGCTTGCTTCCATTGTTTAGCTGAAAGCTCTCCACACTGCTTGCAGCCTGACATCACTGCACCAGGGGTGAGTGTTATTGCCGCCTACTCCGCCGCCGTTGGGCCTACAAATCTAGACTTCGACACCCGCCGCGTCGCCTTCAACTCGGTCTCCGGCACCTCCATGTCATGCCCTCACGTCTCCGGCATTGCGGGCCTTCTCAAAACTCTCCACCCTGACTGGAGTCCTGCTGCAATCAAATCAGCGATCATGACGACCGGTAACAATCTTGCATGCTTGGACGAAGACATATTGCAATCATGCTTGATGTCACTTCTCTCGTTGCAGCGAGGACGCGGGACAACATGGAGGAGCCGGTGCTGAACTCGTCCTTCGTCAAGGCCACGTCCTTCGCCTACGGCTCCGGCCATGTCCGGCCGAACCGCGCCATGGATCCCGGCCTCGTCTACGACCTGACGACCAACGACTACCTCGACTTCCTGTGCGCGCTGGGCTACAACTCCACCCAGCTCGCCATGTTCAGCAAAGAAGAAGCCTACTCCTGCCCACCGACCCCACTCCGCATCGAAGACCTGAACTATCCATCGATCACAGTCCCAGAGCTGTCGGTCTCCGCCACGGTGACGCGCGTGGTGAAGAACGTCGGGTCGCCGGGCACGTACGTGGCTCGGGTGATAGAGCCGAGTGGCGTTGCCGTCGCTGTGAACCCCGCGAGGCTGGTGTTTGAGAAGGTAGGCGAGGAAAAGAAGTTTGAGGTGACAATGAAGGCGAAGGACCGCAAATCATGGAACAGTGACTACGTGTTTGGGGCACTGATATGGTCCGATGGCAAACACTACGTTAGAACTCCTCTGGTGGTGAATTTTAGCTCATGGAAGCCATGAATTGGGAGATTGTGAGCTTCTAATATCTTTTCCTTTTTGTTTCTTTTCTGATTGGTGGGCACGATTGATTGAAAGATTACTTAGTTTGTGTGAAAGATTACTGTCGTGTTCAATTATGGCTAACAATAAAGGCAAAGTTCCTTTTTCTTGTTCTCATTGATAATTTGAGGACTTGCATATGATATAAGATTACAAAATATGATAGACTAAGAAGGCCAATATTTTCTTGCCAGTAAAACTTTTCTTTTTGTACAAGTCCTTTACTGGATTGTTTGAGATTATGAGAAATTTTTTTCTTTGGTAAATTTTCATAAAATTGATAGGTTTTATTAGTCTTGATGAAAGAAATAAGGTAAGATGCTAGATATGTTTTTTTCAAAAATCTATCATAAACCATTCATTTATCAATCCTAGCCATCCAAATCGGATCGAAAATTGATCCTTATAATTTATTTTTTTTAAAGAAGAATATATAATTACATATTATGGTTTGAGTACAAAATATAATTGAATCTTACTCACTTTTATCCTTATAATAAAAGAAATACTTCAATACCATTAAATTTTTTTTTATAATAAATAAATAAAGGTGAGAAACTTGCATATATGGCCTTTTAGTTAATCTAAGTTAGTTGATTAGTATCCCCTTGAAATATATTGAAAAAAAAACATGGAATCAACTATTTTTATATTCATTGTTTAAATGTTTTTAAATTTAATGATAATTATGACTAGTAGTATTGACTCTAAATTTAATGGATTGACATCAATAGGAGTGACATTTGTATGCATGTCGATGAGGGGTAAATATGATATTTCCAAACTTGAAAGAGGATAGATATGTAAGAACAGCTAAAAGATAATTAGTTCCTTTCTAATCCACATTATTAAAGCCGTCATTAGCCGACGAAATCTCGATTACTCCACCCCATTCGCTGTCTGCGAACGGGAAAGTGCATTCGTCCTTACAAAGCAGTATATACGACTCAGGGTGCGACCGAATCACATACCGTCCATGACATTTCCGACGGCTGCAACGGCACGTGTATTCGTGCAATACTCGATCCAGTCAAAGCCAGGAGCACGGACAACGTCCCACGTACCCTATTCGACGCTTGTTGGTACAAGAGCCATTAGACCATCGCTCTTGCAAGAATCATCCTCTTGCTACCGCTCCATTACAGAGGCGGGGGGAGAGAGAGAGAGAGCTTTCGGGCCCTACGATTGGTTGCGTGCCCGACCAAGCTACAAATCGGTGAAGGACAGAGGAGGCAAAGAAGAAATCTTGCGAGAATTTGTCGAGAACTTGTCGATTTCACGCGTAAAGATTCGCTTTTTGGAGGTGTTGAGATGCGCAGACTTCTTCTCGTTTGACTATCTCTGCTCCTCTTCTCTCTTAATGCAGATTCCCGAAGTAGCTGAGGGCGTTGAGTTTCGTGCCTTTTTCACACGAGCAGGACTCGGGATTCCGATGATTTCCGCGGCTGGAGGAGCTGGTGATTCTTCTTTTTCCTCCGTCTTTTCGTGCTCTCGTTCGAATCGTGGTCTAAGCTCGGTGATTTGGGTGGTATTGTCAGTGCTATGTTTCTCCGATTTGATGTTTCTGGGTCGAATTAGTCGAGGAGGCTGAGATTTGTGCTCAATTTCTAGGGTTTCTACTCTTGGTTGGCTAGGGTCGATTTATTTTCCTCCATTTTGAGGTTTCTTTGTGGCAGCAGAGCTGTGATGTATCTGGATCTGGATGTTTTTGTTCCGTTGGTAGTAGTAATTTTTTGTAAGATTTGGTGCTAATAAGAGCTCCAAAGACCCATTTTTGGTTCTTGAATCATCAAGAAAATAGGGCTTCGGCCGTGCATCGTTTTCCTATCACTTTAGGGGCCCAGTAAAAGTCATTTTAACGCTGCTTTTTTGGTGGGTTCTACTAGATCCTTAGTTTCATTCTCAAAATCTATTTGTCCGACCACCTTAGTTTTCATTTCACGAGTGAAATAATGGAAATGCTTCCGGTTAATGTTGATTCTTGTTCTCTATTCTGGTTGGTGTGTTTGTCAGTAGTTCTCTGCTAATGAAGAGTAATTGATGTGGAAACTGGTGGCCACTGATTTTTTAGCTGTTCTTTTGAGAGAGGCTCTTTGCTATATAGAAGTTACCTCTCTGATAACACACCAACCCTTGGGTTTTCTGGTTTGACTCTCTTGAGCTTGTTAGTCGATGTATGATGGGATGCTGTTCCCAGACCTTTATACAATGTATTATGACATTGTCTTAATTTAGAAATTACAACTTCGGGCTGAACCACATGGAATTGTTGAAAGCTTGACACTATTAGAAGGCAGAACTGCTTGGAGATGTTGGCTTATGATTTGTCATGGTTTGATGCCACTAAATTATGAAGTCATTGGAATATTTAGCTGGTACATTGATGTATTGGCCTTTGGTTGACCATGCTTCAGCTTGTAATACAACAATTATGATGAGCTGATTGCCTCTGAAGATTGTGAAAATTTTAGATGTCATTTCAGTAGGGTAATGGTTATTCCTATTCTTGTTCCAGACTATTTTCCCTTTCCAATGTGGAGTTTCCTTACAGTGGAATCTTGATTTGTACCCTGAAACCATCACAAAACATATACCGTAGTGTCACGAACGATCATCGCGCACTCATAACATCTTCGCTCAACGAATCGTTTGTCGCTTTTGCATGCTTGTACATATGCTTGGCAACATGTTTTGCCTGGTTTTGTATGTTTTTGCTTGAAAAATGTAAGGAAGAACAGTTCGCAACGTTGTAACGTGATTGCCCACAACGTCGCGCAAAACTACCCAAAAATGGCTCTGTTTTTGCGTGCCACGGCCTGTTTTCTATAGACTGCAGTCGCACGCAAAACATCAGCCATCTTAGACCCCTGGAACCCCCCGAGTGGCACAGGGGTGGATGGGGTTTCGAGGTAGTGTTGGGCGTTAATCGGTATACACAAGTTTGCACGTTAACTTGACGAGAACTTGCCATCGCGTCTGACACTCAGTGAGCAATCATTTGTGGACTTGCTATTGTTCGTTTGGTCTTTCTAAAGTCCTTGTTTTCTCCTTCCTCTCTTTTCTCTTTTACACTCAAAGTCTTTGTCGAATTGCTTGTAAAACTTTCCTCTTCGCGAGACGTCGGGACTTGTCTGTTGCTCGTTTTCAAACTAATCAACTTCATCTTTTTACTAAGCGAGGCTGCAAATTGATTGACCCTTTGCGGACACATATCGCAAGGATGTTGCATGACTTAGGTAATCTCAGCTAAGTATGAGAAGTTGGCGCAAGGGTGCTTCACAACTTAGGCAACTCTAGCTAAGTTCGTGACTTTGCTGCAAGGGTGCCTCACGACTTAGGTAATTCCAGCTAAATCTGTGACATTGTGGTATTAGAGCGGGCAAGCAATTCGAGCAAATAACGAAGAAACTTCGTAATCTCGCATGGTAAAGCATCGTGGCGAATCGAGCAAGATGGGGCAAGTCGGACCATTGCCCTAAGTAGCCGCAGGTGGGCTGCAAGTGCAAACTCGATTGCATGATGTTGGAGCTGCTTAGGAGCAGCGCGATAGCGAACATGACGAGCTAGAAGTTGGCTATTCTCTGCGACCGGACGAGGCGCAATCTGGAGCGCCAACCGAGAAAAAGAGCCACAAGGAGAGACACAGCGGCGGAAACCCGCCTTGATGTTCTTGAAGCGAGTTTGGAGGAACTCTACCAAGGCTAATGAAGGTTTCTTAGGGTAGAGAGCTCGCAAGAAGAAACTAAATCTCGGATCGGCAAGGTTGAGTCCCTAGTCGATCGATTGATGGAAGACACCAAAGACTCCGTGCAAAATCTGCATGAAGTCATGGCGGAACTCACTTCCAGAGTGACATTGCTCACAAGGGCGCTAAACGCAGGAGTGAGCAACACCCGTGTTGCGTCGTCACAAAACTCGAGGGCACCCGAGCCGCATTGCTACGGGGGTGCCAAGGATGCAAAGGAGCTCGAGAATTTCTTGTTCGACATGGAACAATACTTTCGAGCTACAAGGCCCGATTCTGAAGATGCTAAAGTTTTGATAGTAATTATGTATCTGAATGGGGATGCAAAACTTTAGTGACGAACCTGTGGGGAAAAGATCCAACATGGTTGGTGTCGAATGGACACATGGGAGGATTTGAAACGGGAGTTGAGAACTTAGATCCTACCCAAGAACACAGAGTTCGTCGCAAGGAGGAAGCTAAGACAACTCCACCAAAGTACTTCCATTCAGGACTACGTGAAATAATTCTCCGCATTGATGCTAGACATACAAGACATATTCGAAAAGGATAAGCTATTTAGCTTCCTCGATGGCCTGAAACCATGGGCATAATAGGAACTACATTGAAGGAATGTCACTGATGTGATCGAGGCAATTGCTGCTGCGAAAAGGCTCATTGACTTTGTTTCCTTGGAGGACTCGGGGAAAAAGAAATAATCTTCAGGAAATCACCCTTTAAAATATTCTCGAGGGAAGGAGCTCGGGGGCAAAAGAAGGAAGAAGAGTTCCCACAAAAGGCTAAGCTCAAAAGGCAAGGCTCCAAAACCTAGCGGATGCTTCTTGTGCGGAGGACTGCACATGGTGAGGGAGTGCCCACAGAAACAAGCACTCAATGCCTTAATAGCTTCAATCCACCCCCCTAAATCAGACAAGCACAAGGCCATCGCCCTTAGTTCGAGTAGTTCGGAATCCAGCAGTGACGATGAGGAGTCGCAAGGACCCCGGATGGGAGCAATGTATTTGTTGAATGCGTTACGGGGTCAAGTGGGGGAAAGTTTGAAGACGAAGCCATAGAAAGCAAGGAGCAACGAGCTAATGTACGTGGACATCAAGCTCAATGGTCGAACAACCTGTGCGATGGTGGACACGGGCGCCACCCACAATTTCATTACCAATAAAGAAGCAAGGCGACTTGGGCTAAACTTGGAGAATAACCCAAGTCGGATGAAGGCAGTGAACTCGGAGGCTAAGCGGATCTCCGGATTAGCAAAGGCGGTACCCATCAAGATCGAAACATGGAGCAGAAGCACAAACATGATGGCAGTGCCACTGGATGATTTTTAAGTAATTCTCGGAATGGAGTTCATACATGCAGCAAAGTTGGTGTCAATGCCATTCCTAAACTCCCTATGTCTAATGGGAGGCGACAAACCTTGCGTGGTTCTTGTTTCTCGAGGAGGAATCAAGGACCCACAACAAATATCAGCATTACAACTAAAGAAGGAGGTGCGAAAAGGAGATTTAACTTTCGTGGCCGCTGTAAAATTGGAGCCACTGTAGTGGCAAACATTTTGAAGGAGTTCACAGACGTTATACCACTCGAGTTGTCGAAAACTCTGTCACCACACAGAGGCATGGATCATCGTATCGAGTTGGAGCTAGGAGTGAAGCCTCCAGCGAGACCACCATACCACATGGCCCCTCCAGAGTTGGCAAAGCTCAGGAAGCAGTTAGACGAACTACTAAACGGTGGTTTCATCCGCAATTCAAAAGCATCATTCATAGCTCTAGTCCTCTTCCAAAATAAATAAGATGAGAGCCTTTGATTATGCGTCGACTATCAAACCCTAAACAAGGTGACGGTGAAAGAACAAGTATCATATCCCGCTCATCGCAGACTTGTTCGACCAATTGGGCAAAGCAAAGTATTTCTCAAAACTTAACCTTCGGTCGAGGTACTGGCAAGTGCATATTGGTGAAGGCGACGAAGTGAAGACTACCTGTGTAACCATGTATGGAGCGTTCAAGTTCTTGGTGATGTCTTTCGGCTTAACTAATGCTCCAGTCACATTCTATACTCTCATGAACCAACTATTCAAGGAGTATTTGGACAAGTTTGTAGTGATATACTTGGACGACATTATCGTTTACAACCAAACGCTCGATGAACATATCGAGCACCTTCGAGCAATTTTCAAGGTCCTCAGGGAGAACACTTTGTTCGTGAAAAGGGATAAGTGCTACTTTGCTCAGACGGAGATTTTGTTCCTAGGGCATCGAATTGGTGACGGTTCCAGATAGATAAATTAAAGGTGCAAGCTGTGGCGGAATGACGAACACCAAATAAGGTGCTAGAGCTGAGATCCTTCCTTGGTTTCGTCAACTACTACTGGCACTTCATAGCTGGGTATTCGAAGCGCGCAGCTCCACTGACGAAGTTGCTGAAGGAGCAGCCTTGGCGATGGTCTGATAAATGTGAAGCAACATTCCAAGATCTAAAGGCTATTGTGTTGGAAGAACCATTACTCAAATTGCCGAACTATGAGAGCCTTTCGAAGTCCATACAAATGCTTTAGACTACTATTGGGGGAGTACTCATGCAGGAGGGTCATCCGGTGTCCTATGAGAGTCGCAAGCTCAATAAGACCGAGCGGCGACATCTAGTGCACGAGAAGGAGATGACAATAGTAGTCCACTGTTTATGAGTTTTGCAGCACTACCTTCTCGGATTGCTATTTGTGCTGAGGATGAATAACACCGTTTTGAGTTATTTCTAAACTCATAAGAAATTCTTCCCAAAACAAGCATTATGACAAGACTTGCTGGCCGAGTTTGACATGGCAATGGAGTACAAGCTCGGAAGAACAAACGTCGTGGCCAATGCATTTTGTCGGAAAGTGGAGCTGGTGAAGGCCATGTAGTTGGATGGCGGAGGCCAAGCAAGTCAATTGTGCTCCAACTTTCTTTCCAGAATCAAGGATGGACTGCACAGTGATCCCCAGGCAGTAACCTTGATGCAACTAATTAAAGAAGGCAAGACACAATGATTTTGGGTCCAGGAGGGACTTGTCTACACAAAAGGGAATAAGATTTATGTTCCTCGAGCGGATAATTTGAGGCGTGAACTCTTGAGAGAGTGGTACGATTCCCTTTGGGCTGGACATTCGAGCATTCACCGAACATTGGCTCTCGTGGAGAGGGTCTTCTATTGGCCAAAGATGGGGACTAATGTGGAGGAATACATTCGAACATACCTTACTTGCCAACAAGATAAGGTAGAGCAACGGAAGCCGGTAGGACTTCTGGAGATGTTGCTTGTACCAGAAAAGGTCGTGGGAGAGCATTTCCTTGGACTTCATATTAAGCTTACTGGCAGTAGGGGAACTTGGATCGATACTCGTGTTGGTCGATCGGTTTTCGAAATATGCAACATTCATTACTGCACCCCTACACTGTTCAGCAGAGGAGGCGACCAAGTTGATGATGAAGAATGTGATGAAGTATTAGGGTTCCGCACAATATCATCAATGATCGAGATGTTCGGTTCTTAGGACGATTCTGGATCAAGTCATTCAAATTGCTAGGGTCCAAGTTATACTTTTCCACAAGCCTCCACCCCAAACAGATGGCTAAACTGAAAGAATAAATTCACTCCTTGAGCAATATCTTCGACACTACGTGAGTGCCAACCAACAGGATTGGGTGAAGCTGTTGGACATTGCCCAATTCTCTTACAACTTGCAATGGAGCTTTACGTCCAACAAGAGCTCCTTCGAGATCATTACGGGACAGTAGTCGTCGACTCCTCACACTTTGGCAATTGGTTATACCGAGAGTCGTCCGTCAGCATATCACTTTGCGAAGGAATGACATCGAAATGCAAATATTGTGCGGGATTAGTTGGAGAAGACAGTTAAAAAGATGAAGAAGTTGGTAGACTTGGGAAGGTGACCATAAGAGTTTAAAGTTGACGACTTGGTGTTGGTGAAGCCCCAACCAGCATTACTCCAGTTCTTTAGGCAAAAAGTGCACAAGGGATTGGTGCGCAAGTACAAAGGACCCTTCCCAATTATCAGTAGGGTAGGTAATGTCTCCTACAAGTTGCAATTGTCGGCGTGAGCCAAAGCCTCCTACCAGAAACGAGTTGAAACCATTTTAGCGGATCACAAGACAAAGCTACCTAACGGAGCGGGGCAAACCGAATACCTGTTGAAGTGGCGAAAACTTTCCCGAATAGAAGCCAGTTGGGAGCCTGAAGATGCCCTATGACACGAAGAAGCAATCATTAAAGCCTACCAACAAGCGTCGACGAGGGCGTCGATAGTTTAAGTGGGGGAGAATGTCATGAACGGTCGTTGCGCACCCGCCACATCTTCGCTCAACGAACCGTTCGTCGCTTTGATATGTTTGTACAGATGCTTGACAACATGTTTTGCCTTGGTTTTATGTGTTTTTACTTGAAAAATGTAAGCAAGAACAGTTCGTAGCACTACAGTGCGACTGCTCACCACGCCGGGCAAAACTGTCGCAAAATGGCTCCGTTTGCATGTGTCACGGCTTGTTTTTCGTAGACCGTAGCCGCGCACAAAACTTCAGCCATCTCAGACCCCTGGAACCCCCCGGGTGGCACAGGAGTGGATGGGGCTTCGGGGTAGTGTTGAGTGTTGATCGGTATACACAAGTTTGCATGCTAACTTGATGGGAACTTGCCATCGCGCCCAACACTCGGTGAGCAGTCGTTTATGGACTTACGACTGTTCGTTTGACCTACTAAAGTTCTTGTTTACTCCTTCCTTTCTTTTCTCTGTTGCGTTCAGTTTGTTAAATTGCTTATAAAGCTTCCCTCCTCGCGAGATGTCGGGATTTGTCCGCCGCTCACTTTCGAACTAATCAACTTGCTCTTTGTACAGGTCCTGATGCGAGGTTGCAAATTAACTGACCCTTTGCGGATGCATATCATAAGGGCGCGTCATGACTTAGGTAATCCTAGCTAAGTACGAGAAGTTGGCACAAGGGTGCTTCAGGACTTAGGCTACTCCAGCTAAGTCTGTGACTTTGCCGCAAAGGTGCCTCACGACTTAGGCAATTCCAGCTAAGTTCGTGACAATAGGCACCCACCTTGATTTTTTTTAATATAACCATGTACTAAATGTTATCCATGTAAAGTTCATTAAATCACAATGATTAGCTCAATAACATGCAAAGAACTCTATTCTGTATTGTCATATTAATAGCAGTATAAATGTTGTGAAATGACATAAATGCTGTGTGACAATCTAGAACGTTGAGCTCTTTGGAAAATTCTAAATAGCTACTTATTGGAAATTTTTAAATAATCCTAACAATTACTTATTTAGCTGTATGAACAAGGTATCATACTATATGGGCTGGTATGATTCATATTTTCTTAATAGTTTTTTTGGGTGATATTTGGCAGATGGGCTGGTATTCCATCCGGTATACCGACACCACACCAATATGGTAGACTACTGAAATCGGTATTAGACCAGGAATTAAATGTTAGAAAAAACACTTGAAAAGGTTAGTATTGCTGAGATGAATATGTGGATTGGGAATAGGATGAATATGAAATGCACCTTTGTGGACAGATTTGATGTAGCTCTAGAATAAGATTAACAAGGAAAAACCTTTTAAATTTGTCTAGACTTGCCTACAGAAGTCCTATAAATATTCTGATTAGATGCGGTGGATTGGTGGTGTGAAAAGAGGTAGAGTCATATTAGATAATTTTATTTGAAACAATAATAGACATCTAATTGTGCTTAATTTGACTAGTGATATTGTCCTAAATAGAGCTTAGCGGTAGAAAAGACCCATATAGCTGTCCCCAAATAGTTGGAATGTCATGGTTTGTTTTTTTGTTATTGTGAAGTTGCTATGGCCTTGGATAAAAATTGTAATGCAAACTATGTCTTGCCCTGATATCTATCCTTAAATTTTTCAAAATGTGCTGTATGAGTATTATTTTCCCTTTCTTATTGATGAGACATTCAATGACAATTGCGTCATTCAAAACCAATCTGAAGTATTCGCTTGGCTACAGCAATTCAGTTGTTCAAAGCCAGCAATTAGAATTAAGCCGCAAAAGTATGGGCCCTATCAATGGAGTGAACAATTCCAGCAACCCCAGTTTAGCCTCAAGACAGCGTTTGAGGTGGACAAATGAACTTCATGAACGTTTTGAAGATGCTGTCACACAGCTTGGTGGACCAGATAGTAAGTGCTAATTGCTTTTACAACAATTCAATATTTCATTGTGGTGAAGCTGAATTTAGAAATTTGAAGTTTGACCAAAAACTCCCTATGCATATACTAATGTAAATTCGAAGATGCAATGATCTCAACATCCAGTGCTTTCTGGAAAAAGATTATGCAAGTTTATGTGGTGTACACAATGTAGAACGTCACATGAGTGGAACTACTACAAGCAAACCATACAAAAAGTAATCTTCTGATATTAGTATATCAACTTGAGAAAAAAGCTTTAATTACTTCAATATTTAGTAGTAATCTTTTAGTAAGGACAAGTGTAATTGGATGATGTAGGGTACAATGATGTCATCAAAGTCTCAAGTGTTCTCTATGATTGGCCTAACTCATTATGTTTCTTCTTTAGAATGTAAAAAATCATGTTAAACAAATAAACTTTAATTGGTAGGGACATTCTTATGCAACCTTTTTATTTTATCTGGGTGGTATAATACATGAGGTTCTTGTCAATGTGGGATCTAAGGGGAGTTAATGCACACAATACTATTAATTTTATTACTGAGGGAGGCCTAATTAGTTATCATTTGTGAGCCATAGCAGAAATTCAGTACCATGTTCTCATTTTGTTTAAAAAACTTCTTACTAACTTGGAGCTATCTGTCCTTTGAAAAAACAAAAACAGGTTTCTTTTCTTCCTGACTTGCATTAATCTGATAAAAAGTTTTGTTTAAAGCCTAAGTGGCCTTCTACAAGTCTCTATCAGATTAGCTGTACTAGTCATATTGTAGGATATCAGTTTCTAAATTTTTGTAGTTGGTCACCTTCTTAGGATTCATACATACATTAAAATTCATTAATATTTTAGTCGAATAATAAGCTCAATAGTTTGTAGTAGATGCCCAACCAAATTTGGTAAATTGCTTTTCTATAAAATTAGTTTCTAGTTGGCAACCTTTTCAGATATGTTATTTGTGTCCACTAAATGGATGATTCATGACAGGAGCAACTCCTAAGGGTGTTCTTAGAATCATGGGTGTACCAGGGCTAACAATATACCATGTGAAGAGTCATTTACAGGTTTCAACTATGAGATGTCATTTCTTAGAATTTTTCTTTTTATGCTGTGCTTTTCTTATTTTGGTTTCTTTTGATCCACTCAGAAATATCGGCTTGCAAAGTATGTACCAGAGTCTTCAGCTGATGGTAGGTATAAACATGTTTAGCTAGATTTGACTGAGCTTTTTGGTATTTCGTAATGGAATCACGTTCTTTATATGCAAAGATTTTAAGCACCATGAGATAAAATTTTCATCATCTGGATTTGATTTTACTAGGTCTTCATGTTGCAGGTACTAGGTCTGAAAAGAAAGATGATGACAACCAGATTTCAGGGCCTGAAAGCTCTTCGTAAGTATAAGATCAAATCTCCTTTGTACAAATATGCATGGATATTTCATTCCTAAATTGTTTCCAGATTTGTTTTCATGTAAATAATGTATGCTCTAGATAGTCATTGTTTGATGCGATCCATCTTGTACCATGATCGTTTTTAGATACCTGAGACTATTGCTCATACATGTAGCTAAGTCAAATAATGGAATGTTTTCAGCTAGTTACATGCTTCCTACACTTTGCTGCTTGGATCCACATTGTAAGGAAGAGTCTGCTTTTCAGATTTCTCATGTTCTTTTCTATGTTAATCATGTTACCTGAATTTCTTGGTTGGCATGGCTGTCAGAATTGCTTTCCTTTTTAAGCAGTGAAAATCCCGCATTCATGGAAAAGCAAGTACCAAAGGATAATCATCAATGATAACTCGCCAAGAAGGTTCTTTGCTGCTCCTTTTTTGACACTTGAAATTTTGACAGGAAGAATGTAACAACATTGGTGTTGCTACCAGTTTCACAAAAAATACACTCAACTCAAGCATAAAACCTTCATTACGAAAATACTATCTTAACATTTACCCTGAATTTTTTTACTTTTACTATTTTTCTTTATTTTGCTCTCTCATGTATTGCTTTTCAACTTTACAAATCAGTATCTCTTTATACAACTTCTGATTCATTGGAGACTTAGACACTTCCAAACCATTTGAAAACTTACTTTTGCAAAGCTTGGGTGGGTCGCGGCAGCAGTTGAAGGTCCAAGACTAGGGAAGATGTTTCCATAGCACTTGCAGCAAAGATTGGGGAGCTTTTATCACTTTTCTTAGTGGAAATTTTGGCTGCTAATCTTGTAAAATTCTGCATCGATCTATTTCTGCTATTCAAGTTGTATTCTAGAGGAAGCACCAGCTTGACTTCTCCTTTTATAGATGCTATTTAAATAAATATAAATATGTATCAGTCAAGGATATTTTATGAAGTTGTGGCAAGCTTGTACCTTTCTCCTTTTTCTCTTTTCCGGAAACATAACTATATGCCTATCTTTGCTATTTTGCTTTCATTTGCCAGATACACATGGTTCTGCTGTGAATTAATCAGTTAATGGTTCTTTATAGTTATTTTCTTTTTCCTCGCATCCATAAGCTCCTGCTTTGGAGCATTTATAATTTATTAGTGTGATATGCAGTCAAGCTAAAAGACTAATTTCTTTCCTCAGTGGAACACAAATAACTGAAGCACTCAAGTTGCAGATGGAAGTCCAAAAGAGGCTTCAAGAACAACTCGAGGCAAGTTAAACACATATGACAGTAAGGATGATTCAGCTTCAGCATTCTATCTTCATTTGGGTTACTACTGAATTACATGATTATCTGGCTTTACAATAAATTGTGGGTTTGCACTTGAGTTTGGTAGAGAAGCTGATCTTCTGCTCAGAGGATTACTCTAATGGTAGCATTTTATTCTGATTTCTCAGTACTGATTCTAAGAAATATGTATGGGAAAAGCTCTGAACCGTGTGAAGAATGTACCAGTGAGATCTTCATGAATTATAAGCACATCCATTAATGAAAGCATGCATGCATTTTTTATCTCATGCACTATTTTTTTTTTTTTGCAAAATCATGAATGCTAGAAGCAATTTGTTTCCTTTAATTGATCATACAACATAAATTATACCCGATTGCTAAGAGGCGAAGAGCATATTGTTTGCAAAATTCTTGTTGTTTATAGAATTCACTGAACCCCTGCCTCTCTCTATTCCATTGAGGGATTGTTGGAAATCTAATCTAATGTTGCTTATTTGTACTTTGCTGATATAATCGTTATAATTCATTAGTCATTTCACTCTTAAACATGTTACAGAAGAAGTAAATAGAATCACTTCTCATAAATTTCAGTATCAACTCAACCAAATTTATTTATGCATGATAAAACCGATGCATATGTTAGATTGTCAATGCTATATGTAGTAAAATCACCTTGACAATATACAGCATATGGTTCAGCAACTTGTTTTCTGTTTTTTATATAAACTTGCAGAAATGTGCAGATATTACATGAGTGTCAGAGGGACCTCATAGATATGATTTATCCTCTGTCCTTGATATCTTTTCATGCTAATGGACATAATTTAGAACATATTTTTCTGGCTACTTTCATAATAATAGATCGACATTAATAAGGCAACAACGAAACTGGATCAAGCACATATCTGGTAATTGGATTAAGAGATCTGTTGACTCTGGGGACTTTTCATTGATTGAGAGCATCCTTCCAATATCTGATTATATAGAAAATTTTTCTTTGTTTCTTCGAAGGGAAAATTTTTTTTTAAATACTACAAGTAGCACCTCCAATCTCAAGACTTTCTGAAAATAATCTCATATCTGTTAATTTACCTTCATTTGTAACCATATAATGAATTAGTGGATTACTTACCAAAAGATGTCTATGGCCTTAGATGGGAAAATTTTTAAATATTATCTGGCTTCCATCTCATTGACAGTCCATTGCAGTTTCTGTCTTTAGAAACCTTATCTCTGCTTTTAACTTGTTTATTTGTAACTAGACATGTAACGATGCATGTGCGAAAGGAAAATGCAATCTGAATTCTCTAGTTTGTGGTGATATGGGCCTAAAAGTTGAGTTATTCGATAAGCAAAGAATGTTGTTGCCCCAAAATGTGGAGCTTATATTTATGGACTAAGAGATGATTGTTGATTGCAATATACTCAATTTATAGATCCCATCTTCTCTAGTAATTGTTGATTATGGGCCTCAGAGAAGGTTTCTACATCAGTTTATATGTTAACATCTTCTACATTTAATTTGTTTCCATTTACAAATTAGGCTGGCTGTGCTGCTATCACTTAGTTCTTATTTGTTTTGCCTATTACTTACAAACATTATACATTTCCCTTCGCAAAATATTGCATGTAAACAGCTTATGAGATCATTTAGAAGAACTTTGATTTAATGTGCCACCTGATGGTACTACTGCCTTTTGTGAAGTTAAAGTGATACGTGAACTAAGCTTCTGAAATTATTGGCAGGTACAAAGGCAGCTGCAGCTAAGGATAGAAGCTCAAGGCAAGTATCTAAAGAAGATCATCGATGAGCAGCAGCGACTTAGTGGTGTGCTAGCTGAATTACCTGGAGCAGGCACTACTGCACCCACCCCAGTTGGTCACTGCTTAGACTCTGAGAAGACGGACCCATCAACACCAGCTCCAGCTTCAGAATCCCCCATCCAAGATAAAGCCATTGGTAGGGACAATGGAGATACTGATGCCATCTTCAAGAGCATTTCATGTGATGATTCGTTATCCTCCCACCGGGAGCCACTGACCCCTGACTCCAGCTGCCATGTTCGCTCCTCTTCATCAAGCCCAAGGCATGAGAGCTCTACCAAGAGGCTGCGGGTTGGTGCCATCCCTGGGCATGGGAAGACAGAGTTGGTGCTTGCTCATATACTAGAGTCAAGCTCGGGCTCAGACTTCCAACACTGATGCCTGCTGCTCATACATGGAGAAGATGCACTTCGATTCGTCCTGAACGTCAGTCTGCAATGATCAGCTTGGAAGTTGATGCTGGAAGTTTTACATGATTGAATCATGTAATGCAGTTTCTTGTAGTATGCCATTATTAATCGTATCTAGTGATATCATGTTCGGATAATGTGATAGCTGTTTCACTGAGTGTATGGCATATTAAATTTATGTGGATATATGTTGTTAGGAATAGGAGATGGTTATGCTTATTATATGACATTAACGCTTGTATCGTTTATAACATCCTCGTTTTAGTTAGTTTTATGTTATAATATGCAATCAAATAGAGCAGCTCCAGAGCATTATGACCGCAAAACCTAATCAAGCAGATGAGACTGGTTGTGATCACAGTCCAAAGGTATCAAGTTTCTTGTAGGAAAACTTTGTTTTCATGTATCTACATATAGTTTGTTGCTCCATCAGAACCAAGTTGGAGAAACATGATATTGGTGGTCTGCTGGTGTCATCAAACGAGACTTGAATATAATGTTTCTGTCTTGCCAATCGTGTGGATATAATGTACTTTTGCCTTAAACATGAAAAATAAGAAAAAATCATTTGGGACCACAATAGCATGCCAATTTGACTTCATGTGTGAGGTGAATGATTTCATTGTTAAAGTATTTAATTTTCTCTAGTTATACTTTAATTTCAAACTCTTTAGACTAACATTATATGCTCCAACTCTTTACGAAAATATTTTGGATCGATTTCATCACGCTAAGTTTCTCGATAACGATAGATACAAAGCCATGAATCTTGTTGAATCTTGTTCATCAGTATGACAAGCTCAATCGCTGCTACATATTTATGCAAATAGTATGTGTTAGGATATTTTAAATTTCTGAACATTTGAATAATGTTTATTGAATTTATTTAGTTCAAATAGAATAGAGTAGAAGTTTATTTAATATTAATATTTATTTATTATTAAGAGTCTAAGTCTTTGAATTCTAGATGGAACTTTATAAATAATGATGTAATCGTTTTTTTTTACTGATAAAAAAATATTATTAAGTTTTTGACAAACCCTAGGAGGTTGATCCCCTCGAAGTGATCATCTCCTTTTCTTTCCTTTTTTTCTATGATAAAATCCTAAGATCTTATCATTTGGTATCAGAACAATGATCCTCAGTATTCTTACTACAGTAATCATCTAAAAAAAAAAAAGAAAAAAAAAAAAAAAAAAAAAAGCAGAAGAAGTAGAAGAAGGAAAAATCTGTAGCCATATCCTTCTCAAGCGAGAAGGAAGCCCGACCAGCGAAACAGATGCCACCGCCGCTATTACTCCTAGCCTCGGCGGCCTCCACTTCCTCTCCTCCACCGGCATCGACAACAGAGCATCCTCTACTACCGTAAACGCCGGACCCTTCGTTGCCTCTCGACCTTTGTCAACGTCGCCGCAGCCACCGTAGCCACCCAGCCTTCAACTCGCACGCAGCGTCCCAACCCTCAACCAGCAACCTCCTCGGCAGCTTGCACCCCTGCTTCAGCCCGCACCCTTGCTTCCCTTCTCCACCACCGCCGCCACCGCTGCTCCCCGGTCACCAACCTCCCCCTCTCCAGCACCGCCGCTGCTTCTCGGACAGGGCGACTCACCTCCCCACCGCCGCCCCTGCTCCCCGACAGCTCGCACCCTGCTTTAGCCCGCACCCCTGCTTCCCTTCTCCACCATCGCCGCTGCAAGGCAACTCGTTCTCCACCGCCGCCGTTGCTCCCCGGCCAGTGACCAACCCCCCTCGTTCTGGCGCAGCCGCCCTCCAGCACCACACGCAGCAAGTTCTTGCCCAGCCCTGCCTCAACCCCGGCAATGCATGCACCGACTCCTATTCTCAACCCCGGTCGCTTCAACGCCGCCTCTCCTTTGCTCTACCGCAGTCGTCGGTTGCCATCACCGCAGCCTCAACCCCGGCTGTCGACAAATCCTAAGAGATCGATCCCCTCGAAATGATTATTCTCTTTTCTCTCCTTTCTTCCGTGATAAAACCCTAAGATCTTACTAGTTTGTTAGAACTTTTTTTTGACGTTATGAAACAATTGCACATGCATATATTTACAGTGCAAAGGAACAAATAAGCGTAGGATTTTGCCTATTCTTTTTAAGCTTCTGTCCGACTGATCATCAAGAAACACCAAAAATTCTAGATTTTTAGATCTATAGACTTCAACCTAAGCCAAAACCAGTATTGAGATCCTTGATATAATGTACAAAATTTAAGAAGAAAGATCATGATGAAAAGAAGAAACAGTGTGTGTCTTAAAAATTTCTTTATCTAGCAAAGCCACCCCATAAATAAATTTCTTAAAAATCTAATCCCACTACTTATTGCGAATAGAGAGACTCCACGGTCTAACAAGAGACAAATAGGACAACCAACTAGTCTTTATCTAGCATCAGCAAGACAATTATTGTAAGAGGATATGATACAGTCATCTTACCATAGAAACTAGATAAAATAACAAGGATTTATATGAACATCTTTGCTCCACAGACACTGCAAAAAGGATATACCAGGGAATGTCTCTTATTGTGACCTAAGTCAGAACACCCACCAAGTTTATGTGCAATTTACCAAAATCTATGGATATACAAAGTTCCATTCTCCCAGTAAGCGGAACAAAACTACATAACAACTAAGTGCTATGTTGATAATGAAACAAAGCAAGTCACTGCCACACACCCGACGACGATGGATGTTTCAGTTTTCCAGACAGATCTAACAGCATCAGATTCATGTTTGATAACTAAAAACCGTGCAATTATTCATCTAGCCAACCACCAGATGTTCCCGGATGAGGGTACGAGGGATGTGGTCCAGGTGCAAAGCCGATCGAGTTGGGAGGCCTATCCCTCCTCATTCCATGAATGTCGTAGTCAAAAATACTGCCTGTTCCGGGAAGAGGCCCAACTGGGCCCTGATTTCTCGGCCTTACATAGTTTGCCTCATCGAGACGTGGAGCATACCGGTCCATTGCTGATGTTACCATGCTAGCTGTGGATGGCCCATAGGAAGGAGGAGGAAATAAGCGAGGCTGTCCAAGCACTGAATCTGAACTACCTAACAACATTCCATTCCTTTGTGACCACTCATCTTGACCTTGTGTTCCATACAACCTTATTTGTGCCCGCAGATCTGTCTCTGATATCCTCCTGTACCCATCAATGTCATTGGAATATGTGTTCCTGCTAAGAGAGTCTATGTTGCTTCTCGGGTAATCAGAGAACCGTGAATCCGAGCTTGGGACACCATAATCATGAGTTCCAATTCCACCAGTTGGCCAAACATGTGAATTGCGGTTGAACATGCCTTCTCCAGCTGCAGGAGCAGTGTACCTCCTAGCAATTTCGTCGATGTCATCATTGACAATGTCTTTGAAGATGTCATTACCACCAGTCGTCACACCAAATTCCATTCCAGAACTGAAATACACGTCTTGATTGTTTGCCCTTTCTGATGGAGTTTCAATTGGTTCTGATGGAAGATGACTCTGACTCCTCGTTCTACTCTCCAAATGATCAGGTGAAATGCTCATGTCTGATAACTTGTCCACCTCCTTTGCTTCAGAAACCTTTGCCTTTTTCTTTGACCTTCTTCTCTTACGAGAACCACCACTACGATTTTCTGCTGAGAACCTTTTGTTGCTACGTCCAGAGCTCTTAGTGTCTTCCTTTCTAGCCTCTGTCCCTTCTGAAGTGGCAACTCCTTTCAAAGGTTCTTGTTCCATATGGTCCTCTGCTGCAAGAACTTCTGATGGTTTCTTCACCAGACTTTCTTCTACGGGAATCTCCTGCTCTGTGAATGTGTGTCCATAGTGTGAAGCAATGGTCTTGTGCTTCGTTGTCCAATCAGCACGACTCCATAGATATAGTGGTGGCGGACTCAAATTCCACTGCTCCATTTGCTTGTCATTCACATCAACAGACCCAGGCAAGTAGAAGGACTGAAGACAGGTAGCAATTAACCATCAGTCGTTTAGTTGAGACTCCTACAAAGCTTGCATTTTTAGAGTTGGACTCTTCAAATATCTACATACCTTTCCTGAGAGACTTTGACCATCTTCCCAGATTAAATCATATGGAGGACTTTTCTTATCTAGTCTGATAATGACAATGAAAGATATAGAATGAGAAGTTGCCTTGAGAGTATATACAGAATAAATACGTAGCTCAAGATATATTTATATATAGTTATATATAATATAATATATATATGAAGAGAGAGAGAGAGAGAGAGAGAGAGAGAGAGAGAGAATGATACAATAAAATCATTTAATTCGAGTAACAGGGAGAAGCAGAAGTTGTACCTTTCAGTCTCCTTGGGAACAATAAGAATAAGGAGCTTTGGCTTAAACGTTAAGGCTTTATCAATAAACTTGTTCGCAAGAGCTGCTTTGACACCAAAAGGAGGATTAAGGCCCATGATCTGTTTAAAAATCAAACAAATTAACAGACCTTATATCATGCTGTATTTACTGAAAATTAATAAATATACATGCTTTCAAAACTATACCAATTTGGATCCGGTAGGTAATTCCTTAGGGTTAACCTTCATCCAGTCTCTCCTCTCAAAATTGAAATCATTCTGCAAAAAGAAAACATCAGTGAAACATACAAGAATATCACTATAGCAACAAACAACAAACACTTCATTGAAGCAGGTTTCTTAATAGTAATGGACAGTACAGAATTCCACAAACCTATAACTTCTTTCCAGTTCCTATTTGCAATCTATAACATAAACAAGAAGTAGATAAGGTTTCAAAATAAAATTTATTTGAGATAAAGTGGTGTTATATTTCCTCAATTAAGAGGAAAGGTTCAGGGTATTTGGAATTGCATTAGAAATCACAATTCCTATATGTTTAAGCATCCAAACAATAGAATTACATCAATTGTCTCAACAACTACCATCCAAAATTTTTAAAATTGGAATTACTCGATAACTAACAACTTGTATTTAAACATGCCATGAATAATCCCGATAACAATGAAAAGACATAAGGATGAGCAAGAGTCATGGACAAGAGAGAGAAAAAGAACTTTGAGAAAATTGACTCTGTGAAACAGGTAGATAAGCAAGAACATGAGTTCTATGGCATGACCACATGACAAGATTTTAATACATAATTCTTAGACTGGTGATAGACTGTTGCTAATTTTTAGAAAATTACCTTTGGTTGTATAATATCATAATTCTTGAAGTAGCACCTCTTCCCAGCTGCATCAAGTTTTTCTTTCATCAAAATACTATAATCATTGGCAC